AACTAATATTACACTGTATGTTCACTATACAATATCAAACACTATATATTTTAAAAAATAAAAATAAATTTAAAAAAAATTTTAAATTATCTTCCCTGATCTTATCCATACAGACAAAAAGACACATACACTGCCCCGCCAAAAAATACACCACTTGTTCACTGAGAGAGATGTTTTAAATATTCCAGCCTCCCAGGAACAAAACTTGGCATTTAATCTGCCACAGCTGGTCAATGCACCAAATATAGCACCTCCAAGTTCCCACTCTGCTAAGCCTGATTTGCAAGGGAACATAGAGTCATAAACTACCCCTCCCCCACCTCAAAAACACATGTTTCTGCTGCCCTTTAAACACACCTTCATTAACGTCAGGCCTACAGCCCAACACTGGGGGGGGGGGCCAAAAACAAAATGGGGGCCCACCCACCCCATTTCTAAAGACTCAATGTTAGGATCGAGCTAACAGGCTTACCCAGAAGCATAAGCCTTCTACATCGTGTTCTATCCTCCCACCGTGACAAACACAATTTCATTAATCGTCTGGAAAGTACCAGAAGATGGTGTCATGGGGAGCCAGTCCCTGGCCTCCGGGTCCACACCCTCTCCTCGTCCCACACAAATCCTGACGTGCACACACAGACACTCCAGTCTGCACACTAAACTCCATGCACACATGCACCCACGCTCACACACAGCTGCCGCTGGACCACTCTCTGACATTGGAGGTGAGCACATCAGCAGCATGGCAGGTCCTTGGGAAAACACACCTTGGAAAGGAGCCCTTGCCAGCCCTGAAACTAGCCTGAAGTCATCTGAGCAAGGAAATCCAGGATCCTGAGTTCCTAGAACATGACCTAGAGGATAAGCCCGGCCCACCGGCCCTGTCCAGTGAGGAGGAGGGTACAGGGGAGCAGGAGGGCTGTGTGGGGTGGGGGCCCCTTTTGCCTGGATCTATAGGTGGTACTGACTGAAGCAATTCTCTTATTAAATAAATTACTATCTGTCTCGCCTGTAAAAGGCAAGTCTACAGGGAGAATCCCTCTTATCTTTATAGTCCTAGTGGCTAAAAGTGTGGAAGAAATTAATATCCGACCAAGGGGTAAGAATGATACTGTATTTTCTGGGCAATGCTTGGTGGGCCCCAGCCCAGCTTCCTGTATGTTCTGTCCCCTGCAGGCTTCACCACCAGTTGGCAGGATCTGGAGAAGCTTGTGCAGCTGTGTGTTACCAGATCCACAAACGGAAAGGACTCCAGCAGCTAGCCCAGAGCATCTGTGTGCACATCAGAATCATTGTAGGATGGTTTCCAAAATACACATGCTCACGCTGCTCCCAACTTAGTGAGAACCTTTGTGTTGGAGACAATATGTGTATTTTGGAGTGTCTCCCTAGGTGATTCATTAAGAACAATTCTACTCAAACCCTCTAATTTTACAGAGGCTGTTACGGTTTGCAATGTGTCTTCCAAAAAGATGCCAAAATGCCAACCAGCGGTACCTGTGAATTGTAATAGGGTCTTTGCTGATGATCAAAGTAAGAGATCAGCAGGGTAGGGTCCATCCTAGTATGACTGGTGTTTGCAAAATGGGAAAATGTGGACAGAATGCGAGAACATGGTGTAAAGATGAAGGCAGAGATGGGGAATGAGGCCTCTACAAAGCAAGGAACACCCAAGACTGGGTAAACAACCAGAAGGTAGAAGAGAGAAATGTAACAGATTCTCTCTCACAGCACTGGGCAGGATCTAGCCTGTGGACACTTTGATCTGGAGCTCCTAGCCTCCTGCACTGTGAGACAGTAAATTTCTATTGTGTAAGTTTGTGGAACTTTGTTACAGCGACCCCGTGAAACTAACACAGAGCCAAGGTACTAAAATAGAACAGAGGTTGGACTAAAACCCAGGTCAGCTTGCTCCAAGGCCTATATTCTCTTCACTGCCATGCTCTGATCCCCTATGGGCCAACCTGCTGTGGACCCCCAGGCTGGATGCGAGTTCCCTGGATCTGCTGGTAAAAAAAAAAAAAAAAAAAAAAAAAAATCACTAGTGAGTTTTAACATTGTGTCGAGACTTCTCTGTCCTAGGACAAGTGGCCAATTTTCTGCTGCAAATTTCTTCATTGTAGGACTTCCAAAGTTATGGCTGTGTTAGTAAGTTTTGTTTTGTTTTGTTTTGTTTTTAAATCTTATCCTAGGTTAAGGGCTCCAGTGGGACACCAGAGCCAGGAATGGGTTCTGATGACAAACGGATCAGGGAGTCAAGGAATGACTCGACCTCCCCAGTGTGTCAGATAAAGACAAAGTTCTTGCTTCAATCAACAAACATGTGACTTCTTTTGAAAGGATTACCCAAAGGCTCCCATGCAGCCCTGTGGGACTTTATTCTTACGTGCCAGGGACTTGTATGGACAGTTGAGAGAAGACCTCCTATCCGGCACAATCACAATAAGGGAGCTGACCTCAAATTCATTTTTTATGACGCGTGCAGAAACGCCCCTACAGGAGTCCTAGAACGTCTAAGTGGGAAACCACTCTGCCTTTCTCTCCATTTTCCTGCTCACTGCCTGATGATCCATGAGCAGACCTAGCTCTCAGCAAAACTGTTGCAGTGATAAATCTTGTCAAGAGTCAGAACTCCCTGCCCAGCCAGGTCGGCTCTGACAGGCTATGATTTCTCTCCCCTGGCTCCATGCAACTCTGCTCGCTGGTTAAGCTCAAACGCTGTCTTTTTACCACTTTAGTTTCCAATTTGCATGCAAGTATTACCTCTGTCAGGGGACGCGCAGCCTAGACTTCTATCTGATCGCACAATGAGAAGTTTTGATCATCTCCCTGTAAGAAATTTCAGGCATCCCCAACAAACTGAAAAAACACTGATTAGAAGCCTACTTAGATCAAGGGCTAACTAGATCCCTCCAACATCATCAAAGCAGGCAGATTATGGGATGCAACCAGCAGGCACCTACACCGTTAGGGGAACCTACTGGAAAGACGATTCCAGTTAACTCTGGCTTCCAGGCAGAGAGCTGGCAAGCACCCAGACAAATATGAAAACATTTCTCAAGGGCACAGAGTTCTCACTGCAACATGTACATGGAGATTGCAAGGTGCCACTGGATGCTGGGACATTAATAGTTTCAATCAGCCCAAAGTATGAAACCAAATGATGCATGATATCATACCATTCTCTGGAAAAGAATAATTCACTCTATTACATAAATTCTAAATGTTTTACCTTCTCAAGATGCTGCCCGGCTCAAAAAATACGTATGATCTATCCTTGTTTTAAACATGTCATTTTTCTTAAAATTAAGTTTCTCTCTCCTAAGTGAATTTTGAACAGATACTGAAAGAATATTCAGGCCACCACCACATTATTCGTCTGCCCAGAATCCCCACATCTTGTCTTGTTCTGGCCTTAGGTACAAACTATTTATTTTTCTTTCAAGGGTCTGCCCTGCTCTTTAAGGACGTGATGAAGGACAGGAGGAGGGTAGTCCAATCTAGAGTGAGGAGGGTTAACCACTCCCCGCCTCTTGCAGTCCTGTCCCGTCCCATCCTTGCGGGCTCCAGCTGCCGCCCCTCCTGCTTGAGAAGGTGACTTGTTCTGGTCACCGGCGAAAAGAGGACGTTTCCTTAATCCAAACCAGCCCTCGGCTGGCAACACCAGGCACTGCAGTCAGGCCCGGGCACAGGCGCGCAGCCGAGTTCCTTGCAAGGGGATTTATTTATGATTCTGTGGCGCTGAGCGTTTGAAAGAGTGTGCTGGCTCGGCTTCCTCCTGTTTACTCCTGCAGCCCCAGCCTCCAGATGGGAGTCATTTCCTCACCTCCTTCTCCAGCTCTTAGAAGACCAGGTCACCAGCACACCCTCCTCCGGGGGGGACTCTGCTTTTCTGAGCAACTAGTTTATCCTTCAGGCTTTCACCTTCCTCATCCCCAGCAGGGCCATCACTCTCCCTCTCCCCTGGGGCTACTGCCGGTCCAGTAGCCACCTGTTCCTCAGGCTTTGATCTCATCAACACCGAACCGGCAAAACTGCCCAGCGTGTCCCTATTTGCCTCCCACCCCCACGCCCCTACGCCAGTGCTTTCTGCTTCCCTAGAACTGGGCCGGACTGCAGCTGTCCAGTAAGCCGGGTGCCACCAGGCACGAGTCCTCAGCCTCACTCCCAGCAAGGTCACTGAAACGTGGGAGGTAAACCCTGAACTTTTGCCGCCCTGGAGTTTGCCTGTTTTTTCAGACATTTAAAAAAAAAAAAAAATCCATCGCTGGAGCTGATACTAGAGCAGAGAGCAGCGGTTCTCCGCACCGAGAGACTGCCCAAATCACAAAGCTCTCCAGTTGTTTGTCCTCTCCCTTTACACCTGGGCTCCAGGGGGTCAATTCCTCCCTCTATGCACCCCTCCAGCCACCCCCCGTTGTTTCGAAGTCAGTGGGCCACTTGATCTTTGTTCCTCTGTGGTCTAGTCCGCTGTGTACCCCGCCCCCCGCCCCCCGATCGGACGTATTCAGAATTTTACACCGGAGCTGGGTCCCTCAAAGATACCTCAAATCCTGGCACGGAACCAGCTGGCTTCCCCCTTTCTCAGCAGGTGGGGAGGCCGGGGGGGGGCGGTCAGCATCCCATCCCTCAACAGACACACGGAAGAGCCGGCAAGGTTGGCACATCCCACCTCCTTCCACCGTCCTCTCCCGAGCCTACCCGGAAAACGAATCCCACCCCACTGCGGCTTTCGGAGGGCCCCACCTCGGCTCGGCTCCTGAGGCTGCTTCGCTTGGGTCGGAGCAGGACATCCTTAAAGTCCAGCTTGAGGTCTGCATCTATGCGGGGCATGGTGCGGCTCGGCGCGCGGAGGCAGGCGCGGCTACAGCTCGCAGCTCCTTCCTGCAGCGCGGGCGCCCGGCGCTGGAAGGGCGGGCGGGGGGGCGGGGTGCCGGGGTCGTGGGGGGCGCGGGGGGCGGGGCGTGCGGGGCGGGGCGGGGCATTCGGGGGCGGGGCGGCGGGGGCCCCCTTGCGGGTGAGTCTTCGCGGCCGCGGGGCGCGCACGCTGCGCCCTAGGCCGCCGCATCCTGCAGCCGCGCTTGGCCCGCGCTTCCCGGCTCTAGCTCCCCGCGCCGGGGCAGTGGTGGAGAGGGGAGAGGGGTCTGGGGGGGCCGGGCGGGGTAGGCACAGACCAGCGGCTCCGAAATCTGCCAGCGGGACATTTTTAACAACCCCCCCCTTCCCTCCCGCTTACAAGCCTTGGCTCGTCGTGGTGACCGAATTGGCGGGGGTCGCGGAAGAAGGGGGAATGCGCAGCGTCATGTGGGACACCGAGGTCCCCCCATAGGGAGGAGACTTGGCGTATGACCGCCTCACCCGAGGGAAAAGGCGGCTCCTTGGGAGGTTTTGTTTCTTTCTTTTAATTTCAAGCCGCGTGCGCCCATCAAGCGCTGAGTCAGACCTCTGACATGCCAAAGAATAAAGCGTGGGGAAATCAGATAGGATTAAGGAAAAGTGTGTGGGCAGGTAAGTCTATTTGGCAACAATGGGGAGGAGGCAATTTCTGTATCCCCCTTTGGATTTCAGGGGTGTGTTTGTTAGAATAAAAGCAGTGAAGCGTATAGTCAGCGCAGATCCTGGAGTTTGAGGGACCTGAGTCCCCTCTGAGGGTTACCTGTCATGTCAGTTTATTTTTAATTCACTTGTTGACTTGACTGGGAGGAGCCTTCATTATACATTACGGATGTGCTTAAATGCTTGCCCTGTGCCTTCTCAGTCGCTCAGAACAACCCACTGAAGAGAGAGCCACTTTGCAGATAAGGCAAATGAGGATCACATTAAGGAAATGACTTGGCCATGGTGGCCTTAAAGTTAAATACAAATCGCTCCGTCATTAAAACTTACTGAAATCTTAACTGAAGCTGCGTCTAAGTCCAGAAACCTCTCTCTGCCTGGGTTCAAAATCTGACCCCACAGCTTTTTAGCTGGGTGACTTGGGGAGCCACTTTATTTCTTTAAACCTCAGGGGTTTTTTATAGGTTAAAAGAGAAGAGCAGAGAAAGATTTAACCTTGTCACCTCCCAATCTTTTATGAGAATTAAACTGTGTGCATGTGTGTTTGCACAAAGTTTATATACCCTGACTTGTTGAATCACTGTATTGTGCTCCTGAAACTAATGTAACACTGTATGTTAACTACCTGGAATTAAAATAAAAACTAAAAAAAATAAAGTGTGCTGAAACAGGAATAAACCCAAATTTATGTCCCCTACTTGCTCAGTAAACTGTAGCTATTTATTTCGAGTCACATGTTACATTATGTGCCTCATGCTTTTTAGCCTCAAACTAGATTGCTAACTGCACAAAGGTAGGAATCACCTTCACTTTCTTGTGGTTGTCTGTGGCCTCCACTGTTCTCAGTGAACTCAAACTCCGTGTGGCTGACCAGAAAGATACATCCCAATGCTCATTGAACACAAACGTCTGCAAATGGTTTGCCCATCCCACTTGCTCTCACTATCTTTGCCCCCACAGGAAGTTCTTGAAGTTTCAGGGAAGGAAATGAAAGTTATCAGTGAGAGAATGAAAATAACCATAATGAGCTGGGCCAAGGAAATTTTTAGGACCCTTGTCAAATCGCAGGCAGATGTGCTGCTTGTTCCAAAATAGTAAAAGGGAACCTAATATGAGAACCTAATCTGATCTTGAGTTTGTAATTAAAAAACAAAGTAAGGGGCGCCTGGCTGGCTCAGTGGGAAGAGCATGTGACTTGATCTCTGTGTTGTGAGTTCAAGCCCCACATTAGGTGTAGAGATTACTTAAAAATAAAATATTTTGGGGGCGCCTGGGTGGCTCAGTTGGTTGAGCGACTGCCTTCGGCTCAGGTCATGATCCTGGAGTCCCGGGATCGAGTCCCACATCGGGCTCCCTGCTCGGCGGGGGGTCTGCTTCTCCTTCTGACCCTCTTCCCTCTCGTGCTCTCTGTCTCTCATTCTCTCTCTCTCAAAAAATAAATAAAATCTTTAAAATAAATAAATAAATAAATAAAATATTTTTTAAAAAAGTTTTTAATCAATAAATACCAAAGTAAAATATAATTACTCTATAGTATGGTTATTTAAAAATTGTTCTCCCAAAAGGGGGGGAAAAGAAACCGTAAACTTGTGAAGCATCTGCCCCTGGGATATAGTACAGGGGTAAGGGGGGGGGGGAGCTTTATATTTATTGTTACCTACGCTGTCTTAAGGGAAAAGCATCCTTGCCTTGAGCTTGTTCCTTTGCCCCTGGGGATGCTACCTCTCCTCTTAGCTTCTTGACCACGCTCTTTCTCTTAGAACAGGGACAGAAGCTCACTTCACACTATCCATTCCCTCTCCTTCTGGAATGTCCCATCATACCTGCCCTCTTCTCAGGCACAAAAGAGTCAGCGTGACTCCTTGAATCTCCCCCACCAACCTAGACTCCTTTAAAGGTCCTGCTGTACTTCTCATTGCACTAATAATAACAAAATTCACCTTACAGTACAAGGACTTCATGTAAAGGTTCTGACTCCCAACAGAAAAATTCCTGAGATATCCGGCATCCAATCTAACATTGTATTGTCTAAGGGTAAAGTAGTACCAAAAATGAAGGGGTGCCTGGGTAGCTCAATCAGTTAAGCATCTGCCTTCTGCTTAGGTTATGATCTTGGGGTCATGATCTCAGGGTCCTGGGATGGAACCTTGTGACAGGCTCCCTGTTCAGTGGGGAGTCCGCTTCTCCCTCTCCCTGTGCCCCTCCCCCAACTTGTGTACTTGCTCTCTCTCTCTCAGTAAAAATCTTTTGAAAATATGACATGGGAAGATAGCCTCCAAAATTATGTAAAATAAATCCCACTTGTTTATAGCCCATAATACTTTTACTTATTAATGAATTCAGTTTGCGACTGTTTTGTTTAGGATTTTTGCATATGAGTTCATAAAGAACAATAGCCTGTAGGTCTCCTTTCTTTGGATGTCTGTATCAGTGGCCTCATAGAATGAGCTGGCAAGTGGTCCTTCCTCTATTATCTGATTGGGATTAGTTCTTTAAATATTTAATAGGTTTAAGCAGTGAACTAAAATTATGTGGAATGATATAAGTTTATTTGGTTTGTTAATTTAGTTTATTAAGCATTTCTCAAAATCCAGAAATTATTAAAATTAAGTATGAAAAAGCTGGAGATAATTCAAAATTATAGTATTTAATATTACAAGGATAAGAAGGAATTTGGGCATAATTGATATTTTGTGGATTCAAGAAAATTTGTACCATTGGATTAACAGAACAGCCTTCTAATGCCAATCAACATGTATATTTGAGTAATTGATTTACAGGAGTAGAAAGTTAAATGTATTAAATTTATGTAGATTGTTGGAACATTTAAGAGAACACAAGTTTTACATACACTATAAAAAGTTGATAAATTATTTTGGAAAGCTCAGCTAGTCAGAGTTTACTGCTTTATCACGCACAATACTTGATGGGGACCTTGTGAAATGCAGATTATGCCTCAGTAGGTCTGGAGTGGTAGGGCTTTGCATATCTTTAAGGTGCACAATAATCACTGAGCACCTTGTAGACAGGCAGGTTTTATGCAGTAGGTCTTGGGTGGGGCTAGCTTGCATTTCTAACAAGTGCCTCCATAAAACCAAGGTTCCAGGGACCACACTCTGGAGTAGCAAAGTGGACAAGTGAGTGTTTAAAAAGGAAATCTAATTGATTGTATTTATTTATTTATGTATTCCTGTTTCTTTCGAAATTGAGAGCACGCAAGATGGGGGGATAGGCAGAGGAAGAGGGAGAGGGAATCTCAAGCCGACTCCGTGCTGAGTGGGGGAACTAGATGCGGGGCTTGATCTCACAACCCTGAGATCATGACCAGAGCCGAAATCAAGAGTTGGACACTTAACCGAGCCACCCAGGCGCCCCTAATCGATTGTGTTTATAAGTGCAGTTTAAAATATTTGAAAGTACTTAAGCGTGTAAATGGGACTGAGTGATATTCGAAAGCCTTTTAAAGGTGGATCTTTCAGATTTGCTCGACGTAGAGGAAGATTTTTTTTTTAATTTTTTTTTTTTTAAGATTTTATTTATTTGAGAGAGAGAATGAGAGACAGAGAGCATGAGAGGGAGGAGGGTCAGAGGGAGAAGCAGACTCCCTGCTGAGCAGGGAGCCTGACGTGGGACTCGATCCCAGGACTCCAGGATCATGACCCGAGCCGAAGGCAGTCGCTTAACCAACTGAGCCACCCAGGCGCCCCAGATTTTTTTTTTTTAAAGATTTTATTTATTCATTTATTTGAGAGAGTGAGAGAGAGAGCACACGAGAGGGGGGAGGGTCAGAGGGAGAAGCAGACTCCTCGCTGAGCAGGGAGCCTGATGCGGGACTCGATCCCGGGACTCCAGGATCATGACCTGAGCCGAAGGCAGTCGCTTAACCAACTGAGCCACCCAGGTGCCCCTAGAGGAAGATTTTTAAGTAGACTGTATAACCTTAACACAGAAACAAGTTTTTAAATTTGTACTTTGGCTGAAGTCAGTCATAATTTTTTTTATAAAGTCAAAATACCTGAATGGCTATTTCTGAGAACTGCCCATAGGGATGTCCAAAATTCGTAATGTAACCCCAGTTTTTTCTGCATGCCAGACATTGTGCTGAGTGTTCTATGTGTGTGTGTTTACCTCTTCACGTGACAACACTATGAGATGGTCACCATCACTATGTCCTCTTTACAGGTGAAGATGCTGAGCTTGCCCAGATTGTAATATTAGCTGGGGTAGATGGACACGCAAACCCAAAGCTGACTCTTCACAGCCTTGCTCCCCCCAGGCTATGTTGTCACAACGTGTCACAGAGCGTCCGTCCCTACTACCAGAGGTTCTTAACTTCGGGTCCAAAACATCAAGAGGTCCCTAAGCTCCGTGAACCTGGGGTCCGTGAACCTGAGTGGGAAACAAAGTTATGTCTTTATTGTCACTAAATGCTCATTGAAATGTAGCATTGTCTACAATTATGAATGTGGGCAAGAGACCACAGTTTATTAACACCACCTATGACTTTCTCATCGTGCCCCCAGATACTTTCCTCCCTCTTCATAATCCTTGAGATCCCTCATCTCTACTTCAAAAGTATGGTGGTTATTAAACATGCAGTCAGATCTTGTCGCTTAATGCATTACTGAAGAAGCCCAATTTGCTTATATTTAATACCTGTATTTCCAAAAATAATTAGTTTCTTTGGCAATCTTGTGTTTTATTTTATGCATTTAAAAATATTACTCTCAGGTTTGCACTTTCGGGCAAATTTCGAGGAAATTTTCTCTCTCTTTTTTTAAAGATTTTTGTACTACATTACTGTATTTGATTGTTTTTGCATAATTAAAAAAAAAAGAATCTGAGAAGTAGTCCACAGGTATCTTATGTCACAAAAAAAGGCTAAGGCCACCTCCCCACCCCTGGCCCAGGCTCTTAAGTTTCTCAAGATCAAGTGACTTAGTTTTATCCTGTAGCAGAGACCTGGCATGAAGGTTGTGATCCTTTGTAGAGTGAATCAGTGAAGGTAGGTTTGTAGGAAGAAGAAAAATGAAAAAGAACCCAAAGGTAGAGCAATGGCAGCTGCTTGGGTAAACACTGGTTCAATCTGAATCTGAATTTGGGATTAAGATAACTCTTCAGGACCAGAGTGGGTCCAGGCACCAGGGTGCTGAGGGGGCCTCTCTCTGAGGATCATACAAGGAGTGATGTGTCCTTACATTTTCCTTTACAGGCCCCAAAACGGCTCTTTCCAGTTGAGCGGGATCTGCATCTCTACTTTTTATTATTTTTTATAATGGCTTTATTGAGATATAGCTCACATACCATACAATTCACCTTTCTAAAATGCACAATTCAGTGATTTTTATTCTGAGTTTTACCGTTATCATCACAATACATTTTAGAACTTGTTCATCACCCCAAAAAGACATCCAGGACCCATTAGCAGCCACTCCCCATTTATGTCCTTTCCCCACTCCCAGCCCCCATAATCTTCGACAACCACCAGTTTACTTTCTGTCTCTATGGATTTTCCTGTTTTGAACATTTCATATAAATGGAATATACAATATGTGGTCTTTTGTGACTGGCTTCTTTCACTTGGCGTGTTTTCAAGGGCCATCTATTTTGGAGCCTGCATCACCACTCCTTTCCTCTCTATGGCCAAATTATATTCTACTAGTCCTCTTAAATTTCATACCCCAGGGGCGCCTGGGTGGCTCAGTCGTTAAGCGTCTGCCTTCAGCTCAAGCGCTGGGATCGAGCCCCGCATTGGGCTCCCTGCTCGGGCCGGGAGTCTGCTTCTCCCTCTCCCACTCCCCCTGCTTGTATTCCCTCTCTCGCTGTGTCTCTCTCTGTCAAATAAATAAATAAAATCTAAAAAAAAAAAAAATTTCATACCCCAGATGTCTTGCTTGCTTCACCGTAGTCCCAGTGGTGTAACTCAAAGGCACGAAGTACTGATAAAAGGCTTTTCTGATTTCCCAGGCAGGAGAATTCTGGAGGAGGGTGACATACCTCCATGACAGCATCTGGAATTTCTGGAGCTGATTTTCTGGGAGTCCGTGCTCCTTATCAAGAGCTTTGGAGGGGCGCCTGGGTGGCTCAGTCGTTAAGCATCTGCCTTCGGCTCAGGTCATGATCCCAGGGTCCTGGGATTGAGCCCCGCATCAGTCTCCCTGCTCCGCGGGAAGCCTGCTTCTCCCTCTCCCAGTCCCCCTGCTGTGTTCCCTCTCTCACTATGTCCCTCTCTGTCAAATAAATGAATAAAATCTTAAAAAAAAAAAAAAAAAGAGCTTTGGAGATTGGTATCATACCTGACAGGTCACCGATCCACACTCCACAGGGGCTAGGTATGGATGGGGTCACATCCAAGCCTGTATTCCAAGTAACATCTCTGTGCTGGGCTTCTCAGGGGGGCTTTGATTAAGGGCTAAGCAGAATAGAGCAGGGATGAATATAAATTCTGAAGGTCTTAGGGTAAAAGAGCAAAACCACTGCTTCTGATTCTCTTCTTCCCTCCATTTCTTCACCCTTCAACACGGTACAGCCTGCCCCCTTACACACACACACACACGCGCACGCGTGCACGCACACATGCACACTCCTGAAGTACATTGCTATCTAAACCTTTTGCATTGTCAATAACACTAATATAATATAGTTCATAGCAAAGGCCACAGCTGAGAGCCCATGGAGAGTATGTTTGGTTTGGCCAACAGAGAACATCTTAACATTTTTGAACTAGCTGCTAACATTTAGAAATTGAGAATTTTTACATTGAAAATCTAGCTCACCTTTAGAAATCGGGAGGCCTGTCCCAATCAGGCCATCATCCCCTCAGAAAAACACCATCTGCTAGAGGTAATCAATATTGTCCCCTGAGATGGGGAACGTGGTCTCTAATACACGAACAATTGACTCAACCCTCCCGGCACATACGTAGTCATTTAAGTTCTCAACCTCTGATTGATAATATATGCTGAGAATAATGCCTTGCTTTGTACAGAGAAAGTAAATATAAATTTAATTTGCTCGTCTTTGGGGACAGAGAAATTTGTGTGCACGTGTCTGTGCATGCTTATTTAACTTATTTTCATTAGACAACCCAATGGCATCATGACAGAATTTAGACTACTAGATACCAAAACAAGGGAATTTGCCTGCAGGATATGATTCTACCTTTAAGATAACACTAGAGATTAAAACCTATTGTCATATTGTTCTAAAGGTTGTTATTATTACAGTGAGTCAAAATTATTCTGGTATAATCATCATCCTGGTGATCTCATTTCTTTTTATTAAAATCTTCAGTGTCGGATCTCATGTAGAAGGGCAGAAAATAATCTGCAAATTAAAATTTCCTGCAGAGGGCGCCTGGGTGGCTCAGTTGGTTAAGCAACTGCCTTCGGCTCAGGTCATGATCCTGGAGTCCCGGGATTGAGTCCCACATGGAGCTCCCTGCTGAGCAGGGGGTCTGCTTCTCCCTCTGCCCTCTTCCCTCTCGTGCTCTCTGTCTCTCATTCTCTCTCTCTCAAATAAATAAATAAATAAAATCTTAAAAAAAAAAAAATTTCCTGCAGAGTTTTCCTTTATGCGTTGACCTGGCATGGAGCCAGTTTATTGGAAATGTTTTCTTGCACATTTTTCGCTGAGATAGAGCCTCCCCTTCTTAACTAAATTCTGTTTCCAGCCTAGAGAATGCTATCTGACAAATTGCTTTGACTTTGCTTTTCTTGATTTTGCCATAATTTCTACCTCTGAGGACGACTTCTTACAAAGTCAGATACCTTGAAATATTTGATAACAGGCCATAATCATTATATTTTCAGATAAATACAGCCACATGCCCACAGGTGATCATTTCTATTTCCTTCCCAGCCCTGTGTAGGAGGCCTCCCTGTCTCTCCTTTGGGTGTGAGGTCCTTGTGAATCTCAGAGCACAAACTCCGTGTGCCAGAAATCTGTTCTTTACTTTCTTTCAGATAACTAGGAGTTGGTTTCTAGCTCCCCGTCTTTTTAAAAAATATTTTATTTATTTATTTGAGTGAGAGAGGGAGCAGCACAAGCGGAGGGAGAAGCAGAGGGAGAGGGAGAAGCAGACTCCCCGCTGAGCAGGGAGCCTGATGCGGGGCTCAGTACTGGAACTCCGGGATCATGACCTGAGCCGAAGGCAGATGCTTAACTGAATGAGCCACCCAGGCACCCCTCTAGCTCCCCATCTTGCTAAGATGAAGGCAGGGATTCATTTCCAGTTGTCACTGGGCCTCTTCTCTACCATGTATGGAGATCTTACAGTGGCAAAGGGTGGAAGCTGGCTCTCCATCCATCATTGGCCACACCGGTGGTCCCATTGTCTTGGTTCCCAAAGTCCCTTATGGTCCTGTGGCTCGGATGCTTCTTTGCTACTTGCTGGCGAAGGAATTTTGCTGAGATTGGGAACCCTATGCCTGGGGTTTCCTCCTTGGTCTCTGCACCACACCTCTCAGGTGCTGATACAGGGAGGGACAGGTTTGCAGAAAACAGTCTCCTTTCCTGAATCCAGAGACTATCTCCCCTTCTCCACCTCACCCATGTTTTCCTTAAAGTGCTGTCCTTCTCTCCCATACCCTCACTCCCAGGACCCCCAACACAATCTCCTCCTTGTGTTTAGGCTTTCACAAAAGGCAGGAAGAGTGGTGGGTTTTTGCTTTCAGCTCTGCAAAAATTCCCTAGTTAAGAAAACATGAAGAACTTTGATGTGTGCTTGAAATGAGGGAATGAAAAATATACAGAGAACAAATTACAAATTAGGAGTTCAGGAAAAGTATCTGGCTGCAAGGTATTGGATTACCAATATACAGCTAATAGAGGTGACATTTAAGTACATTTTCCTTGAAAAAAAGGGAAATAAGAAATTAAAAAAAAAAGAAATGAAAAGGAAGTCATTTATTCTATTCCTTCAAAAAGCTCTTTGACCAACCTTGAGCCTGCTGACTATTCTAGCTAGCCTATTTGAGTGTATCAAAGCAAATGAGTGCATAATCATTTTTTAAAGCAGAGTTACTGTCTATAAAGTTCTTTAAATGTGAACAGCTGCTGTACACAGGCCAGATGTCATATTCTTTTTTTTTTTTTAAGATTTTATTTATTTGACAGAGAGAGACACGGCAAGAGAGGGAACACAAGCAGGGGGAGTGGGAGAGGGAGAAGCAGACTCCCCGCTGAGCAGGGAGCCCGATGCGGGACTCGATCCCAGGACCCTGGGATCATGACCTGAGCTGAAGGCAGTCGCTTAACCAACTGAGCCACCCAGGCGCCCCAGATGTCATATTCTTGAATGAGAAAGCCAATGAGAGTTGCGAAGGCTTATGATAATATTAGCTAGCTTTTATTACTATACTCTAGGTATCCTATTAAGTGTTTGTGCTATACTATGTCATTTAATCCGCAAACAATCTTATGCATTAAATACAATTTTATACCCAATTTACAGATGTGGAAGTTGAGGCACGTTGATCAACAATGCAATTGGCTTCAAGTTGGAAACAAAGATATCTCTGCTTCCAGGACCCAAATCCTAACCAGTATAGTATACCATACTGCCTCCTGGCCGCACGAGTGTTTTATTAAAATGAGATCAAGGTAGTAAAAGGAAAGGAGAGACAGTAGCACTTTCACGTTACTAGTATTACTGAGTGCCCACTATGGGCCAGCACCCGTGTTCTTACATGGAATTGCTGAACCATTTAGACCATTTTTAAAAATAGAGGGCAGATTCCTTTCACTGGTTTCCAGTTTGGGCTCATCACTGGTCTCAAGTGCCTGTGAATGACACTTACCTCCTTTATATG